TGAAAGGAGTGCCTCTTACACTTGAAAAACAAAGGTCAGCAAATCCGAACAAGACATTCTATGACTCATAAACAAAATATAGGATGTCACAAAATAAATGTTCCAAACGCAAGGTGGCCAAATGTGATCATTTTTTTCCAATGAACAATGAGGTGGGAAATTTCTTGTAAGCAAGGTGCAAATGTGTCGTTTACCCCTGAGTGCTAGGCAACCCATCATGCGTTGGTGTTTAGGTACTCGTCTACACGAGTTTAAAACAAATATTTGGGGCATATACCTGAATTTAATCATGATTACTCGTTGTATTATGTATTGAAAAAGCCAAATTAAAAAAAAATACGATATAATTGATCCGATATAACTGAACAAAATGATTTTACTCACATAACCTTGTTACTTTTGCACACAGGCGCGCACACAGGATTGATTCATCCCGAAAATTATTAGGGTTATAGTTTTGTTCTTGTTACAATCTGTAGTAAGAAATTATAAATACGCCAAAATTTACTTCCAAAAATGGTGTATTTTGAAACATCATAACTCATGAACCGTTTAACATTTTTTGATGATTCATTTTTACTTTCTCATTACTTACGCGGTGGAGAGTTATGTAATGCTGCGCGAAAAACCGCGACTTTTCGGCCTACAAACTCTGCCAACTGAAAAGTGGATAAATCCAGATGTTAAATTTAGGAAACCATCCTCTACACGTGGTGCAGCCAGAATCCTTTTTTTTTTTTTTGTGGGTCCTTGAAACCGCAAAATCGATTGACGGCAAAACGCCTGTCAACAACGCTAGCGTCTGTCAACAAAACCGTTCGGCCGATTTTCTCCAAAATTGATATTCCCCAATCGATCTAGCTGATGTTGTGACCCCTTGAATTTGGAAGCGATATTTTAATTGGGGGGAGGGGGCACTTTACATGAAATCCCTACGTATTCAAAATGAAAAAAATTGAAAACAATGGCTTTTCGTTAAACCATTTTTGCTTAAAAAGCACTATTTTTTAAATTAAATTTAGATCATCGAGACCTAAAAGACGCTTTAGAGAATAGTGCAGGTCTCAAGTTCGTTAAACTGCCTGATTTTTCAAAATAAATTAATTACTTTAAAAAAATCGACGTCTTCCTACAACAATTGCGAAGATACAATTTTTTCTTAATGAAATGTTTTCATCAAAAATAAATCTTCAAATAAAGTCAGGTTGAGTTCTTTGAAAATATCAGTATTATTTGTGTAATTTGGCGACAAACATAGTCGCCCACTACGAATATACTGTGCTTTGTGAACGTAAAATGAATGAAGCTAGGCAGTTGGATGCTACGTAAGTTAAAATGTGTATATTATTTCATATTTTTATTCCTTTCATACATTCGAGCTTTTTTTTTAAATTTAAGATCGCATCAACTTCTAGGTCATTAGTGACCACTATTGCGTGTAACGGTATGGTAACTAAGAGGAAGACGCGGTATGATGATGTTAGGGGTGTCTTCAATATTATTCTTGTATGTAGAAGCCGAAAAACATTGAACTTCTGCGATATTGGAAGGGTTGACGTATTGCCAAAAGCTTTTTCGGTATCAAGAACCCATAAAACACGGATTCTGAGCTCACAACGTGTTACAGGAAGTAACTTACTACATAGTAGCTGAATGTGGCGTCGCCGACGCTTTCTTCGGTTAGTTGACTTTTCTTTTTTTTTTAATTCGCTTTAGAGTCCGGAGAGAAGATTCAGTTTAGATGTTTTGTCATCGTTACCACTAAGTACTTAAATTTTGCATTTATTTTGTGATATTGAGCCCGATTTCTACCTTTGGCTTTCGTGAACTTCCATAATGTAATTGTTTCATAAAATTGACTACGTCAAAAGTTATTTCGAAATGTTTTTCTTTCAATTTATCGTAGCAATCGTCGATGTTGTCAGCAATCAGGCATTTATCTCCGGATTTCTTGGCTTATCCTGATTTCTCATAAAAAAATATATTCTCGATATTCTTTCAAGACATAACGCTGATCTCCGCAGCCCAGACGCAGCGACCCGCTCGATGACACTATGCTCTTGGAGACGTGCATACGCGGCCGTCTGATCCGGGCAACTCAATAGGCCCTCCATTTAATTATTGCATTTTCCGTGAAAGGAAATTCTTTGTTTTTGTATTCTCGTATTCTTTATCTTCTAAAACTTCTAAGTCTCCCGTTATGTCTTTCTCTGCGTCTACGACTTTCTCACTGAAAAATGCTTTTAGGTACTAGAGTTTAATCAACGACACCTACATAGATCTATTTAGGTGGTGTAAGTTTAATTCCCTACATACCAAAATTTCAGCGCCACACACGAAAAAATACGTTTTTTGAAAATTTCTAAAATCGTAAGGCCGGTTTCCAAAACAAATTGTTAATTCCCCACCAGGAGACTGAGTCGCTTCGAATGACACCTCGTATATCTCGATTGGTGCACGAGAACTGATCTAACCGTGAGTGACGGAACCGCACACTCGAGGTGTTACTCCAATACTATTTAAGGATTGGAAGACTTTTTACCAGGGCCCGGCTTCAGGAGTTTTGTCGAAAATTCGCAGTTTTCCGGCGCACGATTACGATATTTTCTCTTTTTACGACGAAAGGCGAGAATGTAAAATGTGTCGTTTTCAATTAATAAAACAGATGAAGTTTATCTGTTTCTGACCTGAACTGAAGAAGTTGAAATCCTACATTATGGAAATTAAGATTTGTTTATTAATTTGTTACTTTGAATCTACAGCACGGGCGCACAGAGAACTCCAGAGACCCGGGGCAGTTGATCCAAGAGGGCCTCTTAATTCAAACATATCCCCTCCTCCCCTAATTCAGTAACAGAATTAATTTCTTGTTCATAAATTATTAAATTAAATTTTGACTAGAGATAAATATATTTTTCATTTCTTTTGAATTAAAAAAAAAATGCAGCCCCAATTCAGTTGAAAGGAAAATTATTGCAATGCGATTTAATAACATATTTACTTGTATTCTTTGTAGACCACCTCTTTACATTTTTTTATTCCTAAAAATTAATTTAATTACATTTCTATGTCACAAAAAAAAATCACATACAGTAGAATCTTCATTATTCAGGGCAATGACAGAGAAGGAAGTCCATAAAAAATCAAAATAATTATTTATTGGTTGAAATGTTTCAATTAAAAGATAAATTAAGATGTGTTGAAAATAATAAAAATTATTTTTTATGTTAAAATGTACTCAGGGCTAGATTTACATAAGGGGCCCAGAGTATAACATTACTATGGTGCCCCTAATAACATTCAGATATTGAACATACAATAAATATTAATATTAAAATAAAGTATATCCTGGGCAAAAATTGAAAATTAAAATATTCACATATTTATAAATGTAAAATTTATACACAGTGACTCGCTTAAGACACAGTTGATGTCAAGCAACAGCATGGCTCCAAGGAAGAGACTGCTTGCCTCTAAATAGTTGCTATTCACTTATATTGCAATTTTCTTCAATTTTGTGTATGTCAAGAACTGTTGTACATAAGGTGGTTATGCGACCACTCTACTTTATTGCAATTTTTGTGAAGACTGTTTATCTCTTCTACGGTATTTGTCCTTCAGGAGTTCACCGTTTTTGACCACCACAGACCTTTGTTTCTTTAGTGTCTTTTTCCTACTCCAAAGCTGACCTTTGTTTCTTCCTTCTTGATGGTTGCCATTCCAAGATTTTCTTTGACCATCTTTCTTCAGGCATTCTCTAGTCAAGCCCATACCACTGAAGTGCTTTGCTTTCTAATCATTTACTAATTATTAAACAGTTTACCTCCATCTGTTTCTGTACATGATGAGACTATCATACTGTGTTATAGGTAGGCATCTTCTGAAAGAGTTCACTGCCACTGTTCTTATTTTGTCTCTATATGTTTTAAATTTGTTTGTTTGTAAACACATTTATCCTCCATAAAGAAATATATTTTTAACCACGCTATAGAGAATATATTATTTTCTTTATTTGTCATTCGCCATGGCATATTGCCATTCCATATCACACTGCAGAACTTTTGTTGCTTTCTTTCCTTTTAACATTCTGGAATGAATATCTTCATCACATGTGACACGATTTCATGAAACTGTTTAGGTCAAATTATTTAATTTATAACACACACAAGATAAGTTTATTTTTTGTTCTTGAGCAATGTGTGCTACTTACTGGGAAACCATTATGTGAGGTTTTGCTCAGCAGCATTTGTGCAGCTACAGGCCATTTAATTACAATTATACTTCAAGGAATAATCAATTATTTTTTGTTTCTAATTCAGTTTTTAGTCATTTGTCCTTTCCCCCCCAATTCTCCTGATCAATTTAAAATTACTTTCCAATTCAATTAAGTTAATTAAATCATTTTGTGGTCGCAGGTTAGAGAGCCCTCGCTGACAATTTTTCCAATTGATTTTTTTAAAAACACAGTTTCGATATGAAACACAGTGCAGTTAAATGGATTCATGGATAAATTGAACTCGAGATAATGGAGGTTCCACTGTACTTCTCCAAATTCTTGACTCATCTCCCAAAATACATTTGTTTATTCCTTCGATTTCTTGAGACAAATTTAGACACACCAGCCCACTCTCTGACGATTCCATGAAATAAAATATTCAAATTTTAATCAGAACTCTCACTTGGGATATTTTAGGTTTGAACACTTTTTTGTATAGATTGTCTAAATAATTTAAGAAAAATTTGACTTGAAACAGGAAACTGAAAAATTACTCCAAATTTTGTCAAATGATTGGTATATTTGCTATTCCAATCTCTATTACCTTATGTCTGCAATATGGTAAAATACTTTGGCGTCTTCACTCAGAAAGAAACACTTTTTGAATAATCTGAACAGATCACTAAATAACAATCAGTCCTGCGTAATCTGTACAATAATCAAGGGACATATACATACATTAGGGTTGGATGGGTGGGATGTTTGGTTACAGGTGGACTAGTTTGAAAAATTTGACACATTTCCAACTATCATCAGTTTATTTTCAAATGTGCTGTAAGAAGCACAAATTTTGCAACGTGTTCAGTGTGAACAATTTATGAGGTACCTCAGATTGGGGGCAATGAATGTTACATTCTTTTAAAAAAATAGGTGGTAAGAAATTTAACTTGTGGGAGAATACGTTTACAAAGTCCATCACCATTCACACTTACTGTTTTTTTCGTATTTTATAAAAAAATATTCTTTATAACCAATACCCAGTAATATTACCTATATGACTATACGATGTTATGTACATTTTAATACAAAGAGCATACGACCAATTTTATGTTAATATATGACTATCACCTGTAGCTGTAAGAGTCCTGTATGGCACACACATTCAATCACATGATTAAAAACATTCATTAGATCATAATCTTTTAATTATAATTTTAATATATGTATTCAATAGTTTTCATAGTTTCTGATCATACAATATAGACTAAAAAGTCATCCTCTGCTAATTGCAGCAATATAGTCTATATATAAGTACTAGAGAACTGAACAAATGCAGTTACTTTGATACCCTAAAAGAACAAGGATATTCCACTAGAATAAAGACTATTTGCAGCCCACGCACATTTGAATTTTCCTTACTGTCTGAACTATCATTGCATACACAAATGCACAAAGAACACTAATTTTGCAATGAAATAACATGAATATATTAACGACATGCCAACATTGTTTAAAGAAATATTAATGCATTTTTAATCATGTGATGCATAGAATTTGTTAAGAAGAGGTAATACAGCCTGAAAAATTACACTATTACACAATAAAACAAAGTAACAAAAACTGGACAATGGCAAAAATATGGAAGGTAAGTAGTTCAACAATCCAAGTTTAACCGTCATATACAGATCTACATCTTCTAACACACAACTATACATTTTCAACAAAACAATCCCCATAATAAATAAGGTTACTTTTTTTTCACAAAACACGTTTCATAACAAGAACCTTATTTATCATACTTGGTACAACAACAAAAGATCACAAGAAATCTCATACCTTTAAAAAAAAAAATAATTTCAACACAATCCCTTCCAAAAAAAAAACAACCAAATTTATTCATATTGTTCCCACTACATAATACTGATGAAAAAGTAATTTTGTGTTTGAAAGAGATTTTGATTGTGTAACAAAATGACGCAATGGAAAACGGGGCCTTCCCTAACGCTAGCAATAACCAGATAACTCCACATACATCATCACATACGACCTTTTAAAGTGGGTAATACACTGCAATGCAATTCTCACACTTCAATAACACTTTCATTTACATCTTGGTTCTGAATAAATAATCAGAACACAAGGCAAGGTGCTATCACAGATTTAAGAACATTAATACTCATAAAAATGAGAACAACATAGTGGTGTACTTTCCTTTTGATATGCATGTCATAATTACTACATGTAGTTATATTTATCAGTATTCCACAGTGAACCTGTATAAGATAAATGCCTCGAGGCAAAATATATTGCAGTAACATTTAGAGTTTGGGGAAAGATATGCTTACATAGTGAATACAAAGTACTGAGAGGTGTATATGATATTGTTTCAAGTTTTCCATGTGTACTTCATGTTTTCTTCAGTAGTTGAAGTGCAAGAGTGCATTCTTGGTTTCATGTGCAGCAGCCAGTTTACTGATAATGTAGTAATTTATTGTGCAGAGTGGAGAAATCATGATATTTGCCAATGCCCACAGTAATGTAATAAGACATCTTATCACAAAACCATGATGAACAGGTTAAAGAATACTCCAGCAAAAAGGCAAGTTTGGAATATTCACGGTAACCTCATAAAAATACTTTGAATAAAAATCTGCACTCGATGTGCAAAAACGAGAGTGAAATTTCAATAACAAACCATATTTAAAACATGAAAATCACAAGTAAAAGGCGAACTAGTTTTAACTGTCCTCATCCGACACGATATGTATTTACACACGATAACCAAGCTCAAACTACCCCTATATATTTATATATAAAATGTATTTGCATAGTTAACACTTTTTTAGTATATCTTTATTACAACATGGAAGGATAACTGTAACAATAAGGCACTTAAAATATGGTATTCATCATGACAAAAAACATACAAAAACTTATCACTGTCATGTTGGCAAAGTTCAATTTGGTTAGGGCATCATGGAGCATACTGGCATTAGTGTTGACACCACATTAATAAGCTTCATGAAAGTTAATCTGCAACATGAAGCAATGGCAGTCCAGTACAATACCCTCATAGGAAAATATAAAAACTTTGAACTACTGCACTACCAAGCCAAAAAAAGGATCAAATCCCAAGTGTATGATAAAAATACACTCTTCATGGTACTGCTAGTAGTAAAACCTTCAGTCATTGCATAAACATCAATAAATTTACTATACAAAGATATTTGTATTTACAACATTTCAGTTCAGTCACTTTTACAATGTTAGGCATGAAAATGAAGATGTTTCAGAAATTTGACTATAAGCAATTGATTTTCACAAATTATTTCCAGATCCTTTCAAAAACCTGAAAATCACATATGTACAAGTGAACCAGTTAGAAATAAACAGCTTGAAGGGAAAACAAATAAATACAATTGCATACAATGACTTTTCCATGTTTTACAACAAACAGATCCCAGAAGCTCTCTTAACAATAGTTTCTAACTTACACAGCACGGAAGATTTCACATAATTCTTATTATACAATCCTTAGAAGACTATATGTACACTGCACAACATTTTTTTCTACATCTTAGGAAGCTCATTTTATTAGCCAAGGATATTTCAATCTGCAGCCTGCAAGGAGATCCTTTTCCAACAACTACAGCAAAGTTACAATAACTTAAATTTAAAAAATTGATTTATAAATGTAACTCCTCCCAGCCTGAATCATTCCTTCAATTCCATAAGTTAAAAAATAAAACAATCCAAACATAAGGTAAAATAAAATATTCATCAAATAATGAACAAAATATATTTGACACGCTTAAAGTAAACCAAGATCTAAGGGCTAATTCTAAGAACTTAAATCACTGTTATTTTTATTATTGTAAGTACACAAGACCATATGTAACCCAAATGTATTAACACTGGATAACATATGATAGATGGCAGGCACTATTGTAGTTTTAAATATAAATATAGACAGAACTGCTATGTACATAAATTAATACAGAAGTGCTCCATCTTTCGCTAAATTGAATTGAGGAGCAGCAATGACAATTTTCTAACAACTTTTTACAAAACCAAAATTACAGCTCTTAGATCCTAGTTCAACTTCAAGTTCGCTTATGTTCAAATTAGTAATTTAGCTGGCAATTACTATGCAAAGGTACTACTTCACATGGCCCTATAAAAAATAATGCTTACCAAGAATCAGGACTGCTTTGCCTTCCCGTTGCTCTCAACAACAGCTGCTGTCGTATTGGCAGCGGCTGTTGCAACAGCCTGCATGGCAGCTTGCTGAAGGCTCACTTCTACGAATTGCTGGTATGTAGGCTTCATTAAATTTTCCCACAAAAATTCCGCAGCTTCATCTATTTGTGCACCTAGCTCTCTCATTTCGCCACTGTAACGTACATATGCCCACGTGCAAAGAGTCAAGAGTGCCACACCCATCACCAAATTGCACAAGTTGGCAAGAGAGTAGATTCCAATGAGACCAAATATACCCGACAATATATATGTCACTGTTGCCACAGCAAACAGAACTGCAGGTGTGCGGGCAGCCTTAAACACATTCTTCCCTTCATTCTGAGCTTTGAACTGGATAAACATATCGTCCAAGTCTTTGATTAACTCCTGCTTGTACTTTTCGGAAAACTCTTCACCACCCATTTTTCTTTTGTTAACAAACTGTTGAATAGCTTTTTCTTTGATCCTAAAATGCTCAGATTCCAGATGTGCCGTACTTAAATATGGTTTAGTGCCTCCACACACATCATCCATCTGAGATTTATACATATCCTTTGCATTTCCTACTGCTGCAAGGTTATTGCCTTCAGCTGTTGCAACAAGCATACTCTTCGGTTCAGGAAGTTCATCTCCTTGATAAATCTGAATATAAGATCTAAAGTACTGCAGTAAGTCTTTGGCTTTAACTTTTTGACCAGCTATCTCTTTAGCAATGAGGTTCTCTGGAGCTAGAACAAGAGGAACAAGTACTTTCAAATTACTTTTGAAATCAGATTCAATATCTGAAAGTTTGCCGTTGAATTCTGGATTAGTGGCAACTTTTAATCCAGGATGAGGCATCAGAAAACACGCAATTTCACCAAAGCAAGATTTTATGTGCTTTCTCAAAGACTGAAGCTCTGGATGTTGTTTGTCAGATATTGTCAACCTTCGATTCAATATCACAGTTCCTCCATGAGAACCATATTGAGCTTCATAAGGGAAGGACCAATCACGAACCAGAAAGAGAAGCTTCTGGAAAGGTTTTATACCTGCATCATCTTCCAATGCTAATCTTCCATATTCCGTAAACAACTGAAAATATAAACAAAAGGATCACTTACATTGAAATATATAACAAATAAACAGAGGTAAACTTACAATTCACATGTCCCCTACTTTTCTTCAATGATTGACATAATAGACATAGATAATAAAAACAAATAAATGATACATTTTCAATAAAAAAAAAAAATCTTAATATCCTCAAAGTATACATACATCAAGGAAAATTCTCTAGCATTTCTGGACTAACAACAATTTTTTTCTGAAAACTAGAGCCACTTCTTTTCACATTAAAATATTCAACAACTTATCAATTTAATTATTATTGGTGTAAGACTCATTATTTACAAGAATAAGGAAAAAAAGCTTTTATTTGTCAGATTTTTGAAAGCTAACAAAATCTTTACTGTCTAGGCAATGTTGCACCCTAGACAGTATTGCTTGTATTTCAGCATTAGGTGCCATTTGTCCGAAAAGAAGTTACAGTGCAGTGCCTGGCTCTCATTTATTATGTAATAACAATTAATAAAATGTAGACTGTTTGAAACAGAAGCTGCTGGTTGAAGCAACACCAGAAGAAACAGTCACTACAGTATGAAAAACATTATGACACCTTTTACAAGATTGCATAAATTTTGAAATTATTCACGTCAATCTGAAGGAATTTCAAGCTATGCCTCTTTCACTACACACATACTACCAATGTTTGAATCAATTTCAGGACACTACTGTCTATCGCTACCTATTAGAGGAAATATTGTCGTCAAATTAATTTTGTTCTACAATTTTTTTTTCTCCCCACACAATTTAACAAATCTAAAAATAAAGTAGTATAACTACTAATCACTCACAAATGTAAAGTAAAATTATCACTATTTCTTCTCATCATGGGACTTCAGATAGTAAATTAATTTTATTTGGATAAGTTTTAAAACCTACTTCCTAGTGATTGCTCAATGCTTTAACATTTCACACTTTGCAGTTCAACATACTGTTGATGACAGAAAAATGTATTCCTTAGGACAGGTATGTGAGGATTGTGCATTGTACAGGTTTGTTAATGTCTAGAATATCAAATAGTGATATGGAGACTTTCACTTGATATGCTAATGTACACTGTTCTCCACTAAGCTTGGTTATAATTAAACAGTGACAAAGGAAACCGACTCCAGATGCTTTTCTTTTCACCAATTGTTACTATTTATACACTTACTTATGATACAGTTAATAAAAATTTATTAGTTCTTTCAGAGTTATTTAAGCTGTTTTTAATTTTAAGATCCTCTTTTTACATGAACCTATTAATTCTGTTCTTTTAGCAACATATAAGAACATAGAGAATGGAAATATTTCAACACATTTGTGTCAGGCATTGGAATTCGCCATAGCACAACAGTCACGTGGATAAGGAAAATTCTGTGTGTCTGCCAAGGCTTCTTATAATGCATTGTAATGTTATCTACAAGTGATATAGTGAAATATGAAGAGATAGATAATATGTCCACCCTTTGAAGATCTGTTAGTGGCATTATTATTAATATTATTATTACTTTTATTATTATTATTATTATTATTATTATTATTAT